ACCCACTCACCACCCACTCACCCACCCACTCAATCACCCACCCACTCACTCATTCACTCACTCATTCATTCACTCACTCACTCACTCACCCACCCACACACTCACCCACTCACTCACCTTCCCACCCACTCACTCACCCACCCACTCACTCATCCACCCACTCATACACCCACCCACTCACCCACCCACCCACCCACTCACCCACCCACTCATTCACCCACCCACTCACCACTCACTCACTCACCCACTCACCCACTCATTCCCCCACTCACCCACCCACCCACTCACTCACCCACTCACTCACTCACCCACTCACCGACCCACACACTCACTCAATCACCCACCCACTCACCCACTCACTCACCCATCCACTCACCCACCCACTCACCCACTCACTCACTCAATCACCCACCCACCCACTCACCCACTCACCACTCACCCACCCACTCACCCACTCACCACTCACTCACCCACTCACCCACCCACCCACTCACCCACCCACTCACCCACCCACTCACTCACCCACCCACCCACCCACCTACTCACTCACTCGCCCACTCACTCACCCACTCACCCACCCACCCACCCATTCACTCACCCACTCACTCACCCACTCACCCACCCACTCACCCACTCACCACTCACTCACCCACTCACCCACCCACTCACTCACCCACTCACCCACCCACCCACTCACCCACTCACCACTCACCCACCCACTCACCCACTCACTGACCCACTCACTCACTCACCCACTCACCTACCCACTCACTCACTCACTCACCCACCGACCCACTCACCCACTCACCCACTCACTCACCCACTCACCACTCACCCACCCACCCACTCACTCACCCATTCACCCACCCACCCACTCACCCACCCACTCACCCACTCACCCACTCACTCACTCACCACTCACTCACCACTCACTCACCACTCACTCACTCACTCACCACTCACTCACCACTCACCCACTCAGTCACTCACCACTCACTCACTCAGTCACTCACTCACTCACACACTCACCACTCACTCACCACTCACTCGCCACTCACTCACTCACTCACCACTCACCCAGCTCACCACTCACTCACCACTCACTCACCACTCTCTCACTCACCACTGACTCACTCACTCACCACTCACCACTCACTCACCACTCACTCAGTCACTCACTCACTCAGTCACTCACTCACTCAACCACTCAGTCACCACTCACTCACTCACCACTCACTCACCACTCACTCACCACTCACTCACTCACTCACCACTCACTCACCACTCACTCACCACTCACTCACTCACTCACCCCTCACTCACCACTCACTCACCCACTCACTCACCACTCACTCACCACTCACTCACCCCTCACTCACCACTCACCACTCACTCATCACTCACTCACTCACCACTCACTCACTCACTCACCCACTCACCCACTCATTCACTCACTCACCCACTCACCCACCCACCTACCCACCCACCCACCCACTCACTCACCCACCCACTCACCCACCCACCCACCCACTCACCCACTCACCCACTCACTCACCACCCACTCACTTACTCACCTACCCACTCACTCACCCACTCACTCACCCAATCACTCACCCACCCACTCACCCACCCACCCACTCACTCACCCACCCACCCACCCACTCACTCACCCACCCACCCACCCACCCACACACCCACTCACCCACCCACTCACCCACTCACTCACCCACTCACCCACCCACTCACCCACCCACTCACTCACCCACCCACTCACTCACCCACCCACTCACCACTCACTCACTCACCCACTCACCCACTCACTCACTCACTCACCCACTCACTCACTCACCCACTCACGCACCCACTCACCACTGACTCACTCACTCACCCACTTACTCACTCACCCACTCACTCACCCACCCACCCACCCACTCACCACCCACTCACCCACCCACTCACTCACCCACCCACTCACTCATTCACTCACTCATTCATTCACTCACTCACTCACCCACCCACACACTCACCCACTCACTCACCTTCCCACCCACTCACTCACCCACCCACTCACTCATCCACCCACTCATCCACCCACCCACTCACCAACCCACCCACTCACCCACCCACTCATTCACCCACCCACTCACCACTCACTCACTCACCCACTCACCCACTCATTCCCCCACTCACCCACCCTCCCACTCACTCACCCACTCACTCACTCACCCACTCACCGACCCACCCACTCACTCAATCACCCACCCACTCACCCACTCACTCACCCATCCACTCACCCACCCACTCACCCGCTCACTCACTCAATCACCCACCCACCCACTCACCCACTCACCACTCACCCACCCACTCACCCACTCACCACTCACTCACCCACTCACCCACCCACCCACTCACCCACCCACTCACTCACTCACCCACCCACCCACTCACTCACCCACCCACCCACCCACTCACCCACCCACTCACTCACTCACTCGCCCACTCACTCACCCACTCACCCACCCACCCACCCACTCACTCACTCACCCACTCACTCACCCACTCACCCACCCACTCAACCACTCACCACTCACTCACCCACTCACCCACCCACTCACTCACCCTCTCACCCACCCACCCACTCACCCACTCACCACTCACCCACCCACTCACCCACTGACTGACCCACTCACTCACTCACCCACTCACCCACTCACCTACCCACTCACTCACTCACTCACCCACCCACCCACTCACCCACTCACCCACTCACTCACCCACTCACCACTCACCCACCCACCCACTCACTCACCCATTCACCCACCCACCCACTCACCCACCCACTCACCCACTCACCCACCCACTCACTCACCCACTCACTCACTCACCCACCCACCCACTCACGCACCCACCCACTCACCCACCCACTCACTCACTCACCCACTCACCCACCCACCCACTCACTCACCACCCACTCACTTACTCACCTACCCACTCACTCACCCACTCACTCACCCACCCACCCACTCACTCACCCACCCACCCACCCACTCACTCACCCACCCACCCACCCACACACCCACTCACCCACCCACTCACCCATTCACTCACCCACTCACCCACCCACTCACCCACCCACTCACTCACCCACCCACTCACTCACCCACCCACTCACCACTCACTCACTCACCCACTCACCCACTCACTCACTCACCCACTCACTCACTCACTCACCCACTCACGCACCCACTCACCACTCACTCACTCACTCACCCACTTACTCACTCACCCACTCACTCACCCACCCACCCACCCACTCACCACCCACTCACCCACCCACTCACTCACCCACCCACTCACTCATTCACTCACTCATTCATTCACTCACTCACTCACCCACCCACACACTCACCCACTCACTCACCTTCCCACCCACTCACTCACCCACCCACTCACTCATCCAGCCACTCATCCACCCACCCACTCACCCACCCACCCACTCACCCACCCACTCATTCACCCACCCACTCACCACTCACTCACTCACCCACTCACCCACTCATTCCCCCACTCACCCACCCACCCACTCACTCACCCACTCACTCACTCACCCACTCACCGACCCACCCACTCACTCAATCACCCACCCACTCACCCACTAACTCACCCATCCACTCACCCACCCACTCACCCGCTCACTCACTCAATCACCCACCCACCCACTCACCCACTCACCACTCACCCACCCACTCACCCACTCACCACTCACTCACCCACTCACCCACCCACCCACTCACCCACCCACTCACTCACTCACCCACCCACACACTCACTCACGCACCCACCCACCCACCCACTCACCCACCCACTCACTCACTCACTCGCCCACTCACTCACCCACTCACCCACCCACCCACTCACTCACTCACCCACTCACTCACCCACTCACCCACCCACTCACCCACTCACCACTCACTCACCTACTCACCCACCCACTCACTCACCCACTCACCCACCCACCCACTCACCCACTCACCACTCACCCACCCACTCACCCACTCACTGACCCACTCACTCACTCACCCACTCACCCACTCACCTACCCACTCACTCACTCACCCACCCACCCACTCACCCACTCACCCACTCACTCACCCACTCACCACTCACCCACCCACCCACTCACTCACCCATTCACCCACCCACCCACTCACCCACCCACTCACCCACTCAACCACCCACTCACTCACCCACTCACTCACTCACCCACCCACCCACTCACGCACCCACCCACTCACCCACCCACTCACTCACTCACCCACTCACCCACCCACCCACTCACTCACCCACTCACTCACTCACCCACCCACCCACCCACTCACCACTCACCCACCCACTCACTCACCCACTCACCTACCCACCCACTCACCCACTCACCACCCACCCACCCACTCACTCACCCACTCACTCACCCAGTCACTCACCCACCCACCCACTCAGCCACTCACTCACTCACTCATACACTCACTCACCCACTCACTCACTCACCCACTCACCCACTAACTCACTCACCCACTCACACACTCACTCACCCACTCACGCACCCACTCACTCACTCACCCACTCACCCACTCACTCACCCACCCACTCACTCACCCACCCACTCACCCACCCACCCACTCACCCACCCACCCACCCACTCACCCACTCACCCACACACTCACCCACCCACCCACCCACTCACCCACTCACCCACACACTCACCCACCCACCCACTCACCACCCACTCACCCACCCACTCACCCACCCACCCACTCACTCACCCACCCACCCACTCACCAACCCACCCACTCACTCACTCACCCACCCACTCAAACACTCACTCACCCGCCCACTCACCCACCCACTCACCCACCCACCCACTCACCCACCCACTCACCCACCCACTCACCCACCCACTCATCCACCCACCCACTCACCCACCCACTCACCCACTCACTCACCTTAACCCATAGAGCACACTGCCGTCAGGATGCAGTCTAATCATGCGATTCTTCACCGTCACCCCGTGCACGAACGACTTCTTGTCGTTGAGGAAGTAAGTGTCGGGGACCCACAGCTGGTCGGCCACGCGGTTGTCCAGGGTCAGATTCACGGAGATACCCGCGTAGGAGAGTCGCCTGTCTCTCCAGTACTGCTGGAAGTACATGGTGAGGGTGTAGTCCTGTAGACACACAGAGACACACAGAGACACACACAGAGACACACAGAGACACACACAGAGACACACAGAGACACACACACAGAGAGTCGCCTGTCTCTCCAGTACTGCTGGAAGTACATGGTGAGGGTGTAGTCCTGTAGAGACACAGAGACACACACAGAGACACAGAGACATACACAGAGACACAGAGACACACACAGAGACACACAGAGAGTCGCCTGTCTCTCCAGTACTGCTGGAAGTACATGGTGAGGGTGTAGTCCTGTAGAGACACACAGAGACACACAGAGACACAGAGACACACACAGAGACACAGAGAGTCGCCTGTCTCTCCAGTACTGCTGGAAGTACATGGTGAGGGTGTAGTCCTGTAGAGACACACACACAGAGACACACACAGAGACACACAGAGACACACACAGAGACACACACAGAGACACAGAGAGTCGCCTGTCTCTCCAGTACTGCTGGAAGTACATGGTGAGGGTGTAGTCCTGTAGAGACACACACAGAGAGAGACACACACAGAGACACACACAGAGACAGACACACAGAGACACAGAGAGTCGCCTGTCTCTCCAGTACTGCTGGAAGTACATGGTGAGGGTGTAGTCCTGTAGAGACACACACAGAGAGAGACACACAGAGACACTCACAGAGCCACACAGAGACACACAGAGACACAGAGAGTCGCCTGTCTCTCCAGTACTGCTGGAAGTACATGGTGAGTGTGTAGTCCTGTAGACACACACACAGAGACACACAGAGACAAACAGAGAGACAGAGACATAGAGACACAGAGACACAGAGTGTCGCCTGTCTCTCCAGTACTGCTGGAAGTACATGGTGAGGGTGTAGTCCTGTAGACACACACAGACACACACAGAGACACACAGAGACAGAGAGAGTCGCCTGTCTCTCCAGTACTGCTGGAAGTACATGGTGAGGGTGTAGTCCTGTAGAGAGATACAGAGACACACACAGAGACACACACAGAGACACACAGAGAGTCGCCTGTCTCTCCAGTACTGCTGGAAGTACATGGTGAGGGTGTAGTCCTGTAGAGACACAGAGAGACACACACACAGACACACAGAGACACACACAGAGACACACAGAGACACACACAGAGAGAGTCGCCTGTCTCTCCAGTACTGCTGGAAGTACATGGTGAGGGTGTAGTCCTATAGAGACACAGAGAGAGTCGCCTGTCTCTCCAGTACTGCTGGAAGTACATGGTGAGGCTGTAGTCCTGTAGAGAGATACACACAGAGAGACACACAGAGACACAGAGACACACACAGAGACACAGAGAGTCGCCTGTCTCTCCAGTACTGCTGGAAGTACATGGTGAGGGTGTAGTCCTGTAGAGACACACACAGAGAGAGACACACACAGAGACACACACAGAGACACACACACAGAGACACAGAGAGTCGCCTGTCTCTCCAGTACTGCTGGAAGTACATGGTGAGGGTGTAGTCCTGTAGACACACACAGAGACACAGAGACACACACAGAGACACACACACACAGCCATAGAGACACAGAGACAGAGAGAGTCGCCTGTCTATCCAGTACTGCTGGAAGTACATGGTGAGGGTATAGTCCTGTAGAGACACAGAGACACACACAGAGACACACAGAGACACACACAGAGACACACAGAGACACACACAGAGAGAGTCGCCTGTCTCTCCAGTACTGCTGGAAGTACATGGTGAGGGTGTAGTCCTGTAGAGACACACACAGAGAGTCGCCTGTCTCTCCAGTACTGCTGGAAGTACATGGTGAGGGTGTAGTCCTATAGAGACACACACAGACACACACAGAGACACACAGAGACACACACAGAGACACACACAGAGACACACAGAGAGTCGCCTGTCTCTCCAGTCCTGCTGGAAGTACATGGTCAGGGTGTAGTCCTGTAGAGACACACACACAGAGACACACACAGAGACACACAGAGACACACACAGAGACACACAGAGACACACACACAGAGAGTCGCCTGTCTCTCCAGTACTGCTGGAAGTACATGGTGAGGGTGTAGTCCTGTAGACACACACAGAGACACAGAGACACACACAGAGAGACACACACACAGCCATAGAGACACAGAGACAGAGAGAGTCGCCTGTCTATCCAGTACTGCTGGAAGTACATGGTGAGGGTGTAGTCCTGTAGAGACACAGAGACACACACAGAGACACACAGAGACACACAGAGACACACAGAGACACACACAGAGACACACACAGACACACACAGAGAGTCGCCTGTCTCTCCAGTACTGCTGGAAGTACATGGTGAGGGTGTAGTCCTGTAGACACACAGAGAGACACAGACACACACACAGAGACACACAGAGACACACACAGAGACACACAGAGACACACACAGAGACACACAGAGACACACACACAGAGAGTCGCCTGTCTCTCCAGTACTGCTGGAAGTACATGGTGAGGGTGTAGTCCTGTAGAGACACACAGAGACACACACAGAGACACACAGAGACACACACAGAGACACACAGAGACACACACAGAGAGAGTCGCCTGTCTCTCCAGTACTGCTGGAAGTACATGGTGAGGGTGTAGTCCTGTAGAGACACACACACACACACAGAGACACAGAGACACACACAGAGACACAGAGAGTCGCCTGTCTCTCCAGTACTGCTGGAAGTACATGGTGAGGGTGTAGTCCTGTAGACACACACAGAGACACACACAGAGACACAGAGACTCACACACACAGAGAGACACACACAGAGAGAGTCGCCTGTTTCTCCAGTACTGCTGGAAGTACATGGTGAGGGTGTAGTCCTGTAGACACACACAGAGACACAGAGACACACACAGAGACACACACACACAGCCATAGAGACACAGAGACAGAGAGAGTCGCCTGTCTATCCAGTACTGCTGGAAGTACATGGTGAGTGTGTAGTCCTGTAGACACACACACAGAGACACACACAGAGCCACACAGAGACACACACAGAGACACACAGAGACACACACAGAGACACACACACAGAGAGACACACAGAGACACAGAGAGTCGCCTGTCTCTCCAGTACTGCTGGAAGTACATGGTGAGTGTGTAGTCCTGTAGAGAGATACAGAGACACACAGAGACACTCACAGAGAGACACAGAGACAGAGAGAGTCGCCTGTTTCTCCAGTACTGCTGGAAGTACATGGTGAGGGTGTAGTCCTGTAGACACACACACAGAGACACACAGACACACAGAGACACACACAGCCATAGAGACACACAGACACAGAGAGAGTCGCCTGTCTCTCCAGTACTGCTGGAAGTACATGGTGAGGGTGTAGTCCTGTAGAGACACACACAGACACACACAGAGACACACACACACAGCCATAGAGACACACAGACACAGAGAGAGTCGCCTGTCTCTCCAGTACTGCTGGAAGTACATGGTGAGGGTGTAGTCCTGTAGACACACACACAGAGACACACACAGAAACACACACAAAAGACACACAGACACACACACAGAGTGTCGCCTGTCTCTTCAGTACTGCTGGAAGTACATGGTGAGGGTGTAGTCCTGTAGAGACACACACAGACACAGAGAGACACACAGAGACACACACAGAGACACACACAGAGACACACAGAGACACACACAGAGACACAGAGACACAGAGACATAGAGACACAGAGACACAGAGAGTCGCCTGTCTCTCCAGTACTGCTGGAAGTACATGGTGAGTGTGTAGTCCTGTAGAGACACACAGAGACACACTGAGACACTCACAGCGACACACACAGAGACACTCACAGAGACACACACAGAGACACTCACAGAGACACACACAGAGACACAGAGAGACACACAGAGAGAGTCGCCTGTCTCTCCAGTACTGCTGGAAGTACATGGTGAGTGTGTAGTCCTGTAGAGAGATACAGAGACACACAGAGACACACACAGAGACACACACACACAGAGACATAGAGACACAGAGACACAGAGAGTCGCCTGTCTCTCCAGTACTGCTGGAAGTACATGGTGAGTGTGTAGTCCTGTAGAGACACACAGAGAGAGACACACACACAGAGACACAGAGACAAACACACAGAGACACAGAGAGTCGCCTGTCTCTCCAGTGCTGCTGGAAGTACATGGTAAGGGTGTAGTCCTGTAGAGACACACACAGAGACACAGAGACACACAGAGACACACAGAGACACTCACATACACACAGAGACACACACAGAGACACAGAGAGTCGCCTGTCTCTCCAGTACTGCTGGAAGTACATGGTGAGTGTGAAGTCCTGTAGAGACACACACAGAGACACACACAGAGATACTCAGACACACAGACACACATAGAGACACACAGACACACAGAGACAAAGAGAGTCGCCTGTCTCTCCAGTACTGCTGGAAGTACATGGTGAGTGTGTAATCCTGTAGTGACACACAGGCACACACAGAGACACACACAGACACACACAGAGACACACAGACACACACACAGAGACACACACACACACAGAGGCGCCTGTCTCTCCAGTACTTCTGGAAGTACATGGTGAGTGTTTAGTCCTGTAGACACACACAGAGACACAGAGAGACACACAGAGACACAGAGACACAGAGACATAGAGAAACAGAGACACAGAGAGTCGCCTGTCTCTCCAGTACTGCTGGAAGTACATGGTGAGTGTGTAGTCCTGTAGAGACACACACAGAGACACACACACAGAGACACTCACAGAGCCACACAGAGACACACACAGAGACACAGAGACACACACAGAAACACACACACAGAGACACACAGAGACAAAGAGAGTCGCCTGTCTCTCCAGTACTGCTGGAAGTACATGGTAAGGGTGTAGTCCTGTAGAGACACACACAGAGACACACACACAGAGACACAGAGACACACACAGAGACACACACAGAGACACACAGAGACAGAGAGAGTCGCCTGTCTCTCCAGTACTGCTGGAAGTACATGGTGAGTGTGTAGTCCTGTAGAGAGATACAGAGACACACAGAGACACACAC